GCCTCGGATTCCGATTCGGACTCGGATCCGGCCTCGGATTCCGACTGGGATTCGCTTCTTTTCCGGGCCTTCCTCAGAGGCCTCCCCTCCTCCTCTTCCTCCTCGGATTCCGTCCCTTTTTTGCCCTTTTTGGCCTCTTTTTTCAATGGCCTCCTCTTCTTTTTGGCCTCGGATTCCGATTCGGACTCGGATTCCGACCGGGATTCGCTTTTTCTCCCAGGCCTCCTTTTCTCCTCAGATTCAGTCCCTTTTTTGCCCTTTTTGGCCTCTTTTTTCAATGGCCTCCTCTCCTTTTCGGCCTCGGATTCCGATTCGGACTCGGATCCGGCCTCAGATTCCGATTGGGATTCGCTTCTTTTCCGGCCCTTCCTCCTCGGCTTCTCCTTCTCTTCCTCCTCTGATTCCATCCCTTTTTTGCCCTTTTTTCCTGCATTTTTCAATGGCCTCCTCTCCTTTTCGGCCTCGGATCCGGATCCGGCCTCGGATTCCGACCGGGATTCGCTCCTCCGAGGCCTCCTTTTCTCCTCGGATTCCGGCCCTTTTTTGCCTTTTTTGGCCTCTTTTTTCAATGGCCTCCTCCCCTTTTCGGCCTCGGATTCCGATTCGGACTCGGATCCGGCCTCGGATTCCGACTGGGATTCGCTTCTTTTCCGGGCCTTCCTCAGAGGCCTCCCCTCCTCCTCTTCCTCCTCGGATTCCGTCCCTTTTTTGCCCTTTTTGGCCTCTTTTTTCAATGGCCTCCCCTTTTCTTTGGCCTCAGATTCCGATTCGGACTCGGATTCGGCCTCGGATTCCGATTGGGCCTCAGATTCCAAACGGGATTTGCTTCTTTTCCGGCCCTTCCTCCTCGGCTTCTCCTTCTCTTCCTCCTCTGATTCCATCCCTTTTTTGCCCTTTTTTCCTGCATTTTTCAATGGCCTCCTCTCCTTTTCGGACTCGGATCCGGATCCGGCCTCGGATTCCGACCGGGATTCGCTCCTCCGAGGCCTCCTTTTCTCCTCGGATTCCGGCCCTTTTTGGGCCTTTTTGGCCTCTTTTTTCAATGGCCTCCTCTCCTTTTCGGCCTCGGATTCCGATTCGGACTCGGATCCGGCCTCAGATTCCGATTGGGATTCGCTTCTTTTCCGGCCCTTCCTCCTCGGCTTCTCCTCCTCTTCCTCCTCGGATTCAGTCCCTTTTTTGCCCTTTTTTCCCCCTTTTTTCAATGGCCTCCTCTCCTTTTCGGCCTCAGATTCCGATTCGGACCCGGATTCCGACCCGGATTCCAACTGGGATTCCCTTCTCCTTTGGGCCTTCGTCGGAGGCCGCTTCCCCTCCTCCTCCTCCTCGGATTCTGTCCCTTTTTTGGCCTTTTTTTCCCCTTTTTTGGCCTTTTTTCCCCCTTTTTTCAATGGCCTCCTCTCCTTTTCGGACTCGGATCCGGATCCGGCCTCGGATTCCGACCGGGATTCCCGTTTCCTCCGGGGCCTTTTCCCGTTTTCCTCCTCGGATTCT